CTAGAGTTGATTTTTTCCTATATCTAATTAACAATCTCCGATGTAAAATCGGTTAAGAAAGGTATATTTTAATGTTCCTTCCTTATCGTGCCTTCGTTAACAAGTTGCAGGTTCGCTACGAATGAATTAAAAACAATTGTGTAAACTTTGCAATCTTGATATTATCATTGAACCTGTATAACTTTACTCATCATCACTGTAGACTTATTGTGAGCTAATATGTTAGGAGTTGGCTCTTTTTTGTGGATTAGTTTGTTTATTTATTTACTGCTATTACTGATGGCTTGTTTTACTGTACACGATATACAGTACGTAGGGTTTCCCTGCTTTTGCTGTTTAATTGTACGGGAAGCGAGACCTCGTTAAGCCGTCTAGCGGGACTTTTCTTCGCTGTCCCGACCATTACTTGTAATGGAAGTAAGCTTACTATTATTAAATATAATGTTTTTGTCATGACGTAAATAACTTGAGTAACATGAGTTAAAAATACGCTGACCATTCAGTGAGGGAATTTATCCTTTAAAAAATGAATGGAACATTCTCAGAACTTTGTTTGATCACACTACAAACACGCAGGGATAATATTTTTGTTTTGTCTTCGGCTTCATCCCTGCTAACCCTATACGTGTATGGCAGTAATTGGTTCCTCCAGAAGCATTAGCACTAGATTAGACGCATGGGCATGTTTTTAGGGAGAAGACCCACTAATATAACCGAGAAGGTTCACAGTACTCATATGTTTTCTCAGCAAGAAAGTTGAACTGGCAAGAATGTATCGAGATTAATAGTAAACTTAAGACAAAGTAATAATAGAAAAAAAAACAGACAGAACAGTGAAGTCTGAGACACTTCGTTTTTGTGTCCGTTTCTTTATTATTATTCCTCAGCCTGGGGTCTATTATGAATAAATGTCGCCAGCTTGCTTGTTTTTTTTTCCTTTATTGATTGTGTTGAGACGGTGAGTTATAAAGGTCAGTAACATTATGTCTGCTTAGCAATGCTGTATCTATACTAGGTGAAACTTTGGCTCAGTTGGCAATTTATCGAAACCAGTTAACTTTTACCATATGCATTACCTTTGTAAATTAATTAGACCGAAAGGTTCTTTAATTACCTCAAGGTATTCAGAAACATTCAAAGAAACATCAGAAAATTCAGCATTAAATATTCACAAGAGGATACTGACAGAGTAACTTTGCCCACCTAATTCGGGAATTAGTCAGAGATTTCGTTTGGGGAACCGCTAATAAAAAAAAAAACAAAAACAAATAACGAACGAATAAGTTGCACAAATGACAGGGACATTTATTTTGTTAGTATGCGTGTCAGTCTGTGTGTGTTACCAAGCAGACGTTGGTATAGTATAGTGCTTGGATTGGTATTGCATTAAAATCAGTAAAAAGCTAGCGCCAGTCCTTGTCGTATTGTGCCTTTTTCGTTGTTTTTTTTACGCTATATATGTAGGTTTCTTTTTCTGTATGAACTAAACAACTAGCCCATCTAAGAGCACATTGTGATTTAAAAAGTAGTGCTAAAAGCCCCCTCTTTTGGTTTTTATTTGTATGATGTCATAAATATAAAGATTTTATACTGATTGGCGTAATGACATCATTTCCCTGTAAAATTACAAGGAGGAACAAAACCTCTTCAGCTATCAATCTAAAATTGCAACAAACCACAATGTGGTCACTGGGTGTTTTTCGAAGCGGTTTCGTATCAAAGCGACTATTATGTTAACTACAAGTCTTTTGGCTTTGAAAATTCTTGACTTTAATTGATCATCAGGGCATCAACTTTGCGATAAGCATGTTGGACGACCAAAACCAAGATACGAAGCATAAAAGCAATTCTAACCTCATAGTCGCTGACCATATTTTGCCGTTACTTATTACATGAATACCTTGAATTCATAAAATCAAGTAGTAATTAGAAAATCTTGCAGAACTTTCTTAATTAATCTGCTTCTAGAGCGTCATATTTTGGTTACTATATGTGGTCAAAATGCTTTACACTGAATCACCTAAACAAATATTGGTAACTTAGTAATTTGGACACTAAAAGCTGCAGACACTTTTTCCCCTAGGATAAGAAAGTTATCTCTGCACTATTTTGTGTAGTAATTGCGCTAAATTGTTCCAGAATGTAACTCGCAAAACAGACAACTATGAATGCAGGTTGGAGAAAAAAAATATTACTCACCAAGATTCCTTTCACAATCTGGCTGCCATTCAAAAGGCTGCACGTGTGTTAGCCGATGCCGCACCTGATGTTATGTTTCTCCGTTCATTGCTGCCTTAGTACGCAAACAAAAACCTTTTACCCAGAAAGGTATGGGGGTCTCAGTATTCTTTTGAAACCTTTGGACACTGATAATAAACGGCTGATTGCATTGATTTAAAAGTCTCTGCTTCAGTCCATTCTCCGATTAAAATCTGTAGAAGTTTTGTACGTCATTTTGTTAGGAATGCTGCGACTGGAATTTGCGCCCGTGCTGTAAATATTCACCATGCAACGCGCAAACAATAACTATTAAACTCGTTGAGAAAAAAAATCGTAGAGTTTATGCCAGGTATTTAGAACGGCGTTTGTATTATGACTAAGAATATCCACCAGAAAAAGGACAACTTTTACTTTTGTCAAAAGAAGTGAGGTTCATGAATTAGGTCTTTTACACAAAATTGAAGATAGTTTTATTGACTCGCATTAGTTCCTCCGTAAAGTTAATTTTCACTGCTATCTTTGATCTACCGAACATTTATTTTTTTTAAGTATTTTCATATTAGTTCACCATGTCACATTTCACCCCTTTCTTGGATACAGCAGTTTGAGCACAGTGTCGCCACTCGAAATCTCGACATATGTGTATCGCGGTCCGTGTGTTCTGCCCCCTTTTTGAGTAGTGCGGCATTATTTTTCTATTAATATGTCTCTAGTGTGATCATGCCTATTTTGTCTCTTATTAAGGCGAAAGCTTTATATGTCTCATCGTTCAGTCCACCTTCAAAGTCCTTGAGCGAAAGCACGTCGGCGACGTGAAAGTTACCAAAACGAAAGGTACCAACGAAACGGCGCCAAGAGTGCGTCGTCAGAAAGCGCGCTGTCTTATGAGGTTCGCTATCACGTTTCCATCGGCGCTTGGGCTTTCGCCTTCAAATCGTCTCTGAGATAACATAAGAGGCCCTGTGAATTTTGCGTGCAGGGTTCTTGAAGAGGTGCACGAAACAAAGGGTATTGCGGCTGTTTTTTGGGCACATCTAGGGGTGTGCGAATTATGGTTCGAATCGAATAGCGCTGCGTCATTTACAGCTTTAACAGCGCTAGAGGAAGCCAGGACCTACCGGTTCTCTTTGCAGTGTAGATGCTGGGAATGACGCTGCGCTATTCGATTTGAATCATTATTCGCGCATTCCTAGGCACTTGAAATTTTAAAAAAAATGTTGATGATAATGATGGTTTTATTGTATTATTAATTCTATTATTATTATTATTCTTATAATTATCTGCGAGATTAGGATAGCCGAAGCTTGTAATTGTCCCTGTAAAACCAGGGACATCAGACTGGGGGACAAAACGGCCGCGGTGTCACCACTCTACACAAGCGCGTGTGTATAAAGGCACCCTGAGCAAAACACAAGCATCTTGCTTAAATATTGAAACAATGATAAGCGCGCTGAGCCTCTAAGCACATGCGCAGCACGCCTTGTCGCCCTGTCTAAACGCAATGCGGGGTGTCGCACCCTCCCCCCCCCCTCCCCCACACAAACACCCCTCCTCCTCCCCTGAAAACAACAACAAAAAAATGTACAGCCGCTTTTCTTCACCCTCATAAATAAACTACATATCACCAAGCGCTCTTAACCGTCGCTCATTCTTCACCCGAATGTAGCGTATAGTGGTCTGGAACCAGATGCCGAAGTTTGAGACCTTGCCGTTACCTGATTCAAACGTTTCAAACAATTGTCGTAAATTTTCAGTAAGCAAATAAAGGCCAATGAAGCCCACAAATGCAAGGACAAGAATGAGCCAGCTCCAGAAAACGGGTCTTATTTCTCCATTAAAAATCTCAGAAAATTACTTGTAACGTTTTCATAAAATAACGGCGAGCTCTAAAATTTTGGCCTCTAGACCTTTCCATAAGCGGTGCATTTGGGTGGAAAAGAAGCGTTCGACAATGTGTAAATTGTTTTTACAATAAAAAAAAAAAGCACAAAAGCACATAGTAAATAGTTTTTGGGAACAGGTTGTACCCAAGTGATCACAATAAGGAAATGACGAATGCTCGTGCAAAAAAGCAAATTTCCTTAGAATTCCGCTTAAGCATTACAGGTGAAGACGCTAGCACGGACAGCGCGAACTGACGTTTACTGCTTGCTCCTGGATTATCCAATTTTTCAGCAAAAATTTATCAGCTGACGCTTTAGCTTTCGGTTCCACGCGAGCACTCGGTCGTGCATGAAGCAGGGTGTATTCACTGGACGCCATACTTGAGGGCGATATTTAGAGCGCATGCTCGGGACGAGCTCACATTAATAGCCTGTGAAGGCCGGCAGTCTTGATGGTGCGGTATACACGTTTAAAAAAAAACAAAAAAAACTCCGGAACCTCACCTTCAGCACGCGCTCTGCAGCCGAGCGCACAGTTATGGCCGCCAGTAATTACTGGCGGCCATAACCGTGTCCGCGGCTGTTGAGCGCGTGCTTACGGCGAGCTTCCAGCTTGGCGCCAGCTCTGCGCCAATGAGTAAGGCGAGTAAAAAAAGTGATACAATACTGTAAAGAAAGGGAGTTTGAAAAAAAAATAAATATCGCTTACCTCGACCGTGCCAGCTCTTAACCAATGTGCGAGGCGAGTGACCACGATAACCCTTCATGATATCCTATTCCTCTCACAAGTGTGCCTCCAGAAACGTGACGGCAACTATCCTATAGCTATCGCTCTTGGTCTGGCTCTCGTAAGATAGCTTCTATCTCTCATATCCCAGACTGGGGTTGCAGACTTACACCGAGAGCAGCCTTTTCGCCAGTGGGGCTACAAAAGTGGACTAGCAAAGAGCGTCCGCCGACAGAAGCTGCCAAGACTCGGCGTTGCTGCAACAGCCCAAGGATTTCAAAGCTGACACTACCGAGGTGGGTGAGTTGAGACTGCTCATCATCCAGACACAATGTATTGTTCTGGGGAACGTCCATATTTAGCACCAGAAATGGCCTTAAATTACCTCTGGAGACCCAGGGTAACCTCTGGCGTCGACCAATCCCCTCCGGAACTCCCATGTCTAAGGACTTTCACCGCCAGGCGCAAGTATTCTTTTTGGCGGAGGAGCATATAGAGCTTAGTAGAATGCGAGCAATGGTGGCGATTAGTAGTCCTTTTTTGCAAATAGATCGATCTCTCCAGCCAGTTTCGCTACGTATCCGCTGCCGTGATACATCGAGGAAATCATACAAAAGACATCTGCAGACACTGTCTGAGTGTCCGTAGACAGGTTGGACAAACACTCTCTGCAGACATGTTGGAAGTACACACATGTAGCAAGCAAACATGATTCTAACATGGTTGACACGCGCAAGCAGATATTTATATCCTCACGTTTGCAGCGGACTCGATGTCTTTTGTATGGCCGGTGCACCAGCAGCGGAACCACGGCTGTACTCCTTTTACACTTGCGACAACCATGCTGTAGCTATGCGCGAGCCAAGCATGAGACAGCACGAGCAGTTTTGTGCACTGGAGCCGCCGGCCCACTGTGGACTAAAGTCATGACGGCGTAACGCACGCTCCGATACGCTCGGTGAGATAGGTCCATTGGCCTATCCTCAGGAAATCATTCCTGTGGAATAACCTTATCGACCAAGGTCAAGGCACGAGTATAATGTACTTACAATTAGTGGCTTAGTTAACTTAAATTGATAAAGGTTCCTCGCGCACACGTCGTGTCCTTCGCATACTTTATTTTTAATCGATGCAGTTTTTTCGGGCATCGTCACAAGCGGTGTACGGAACGTTGATTTCCATCTGCAAAATCGTTAACGCAAAGTCGTCGTCTTCTTTATATACTTAGTGGGACTTGTCTGACCATTGCCCTTCGTGTTTTTGTTGACTTCTTCTCCAACTTTCCAGAATGAAGACAATCAGGATCCTGTGTCAAGTCGCAATCGTCCTCTCAGCGGGGTCGGCCTCTCACGTGTCAAGCCCTAACGCAGCGCCATGCTGGGACCGTAATCTCGTGGACTTATCGTATCCGTTCAACAACGAGACAATCTACTGGACAGACGACAAACACTTCGTTTTCAACGCCACCGTCGCCGCGGAAAACGAGGAATGGTAAATCACACCTTTCGGTTTATACACCAGCACGCGACTCTCACTCCCCATCGCTGCGGTGTGAAGTGTTGCGGTGTGAAGTTCACACTTCGAGTGAATTTGGTTTCTCTGCACGCGCTTCGCCTGGTGTGGCCGAGCACTTACTTGTTTGAGCGGGCAGGGCTAATAGGCGTTTTTGAGTACGCACCTGGGCGTCGCAATGTTACGTGCTGCTGACGTGTGCGGACAACACCACCTGCGATGCAACTGAAGCCCGCGCACTAAAATTTCGACATGAACCGAGCGAAGACGCGAACATTGGACGCGAGTGGTACGTCAGCATTCGGCCGGGCCTCATGTCCAATCAACGCTTCGAAGGACGCAACGGCATCCGGCTAGGGCCCAATTACTGCCGAGTTGGCGCCATCCGACCGTGATGTCGTTGCACGGAGGAAGTGGTGGGTATCTATAAAGTCTGCGCATGCGCACACTCCCCCCTAAGCCTATTTTGCCGCTGTCGCCATTTTCGCGGGGCACCGTTCCGCGCAACCAATGTTGCTAGCATCTATCGTCGCGCGTATTTAGTCTATCTCGACGCTTCGTTGTTTTAGATATCGATAGTATGGGGTATAAAAAGCACCGACAAAACGGCACGATGCAAAATGTGTTTTGACAGGCGGAGGCATGTTGGGCTGCCCTTCAGTTGTAGTTCGCAGACAACTCTGTTTTTTCCTCTCTATGGTTGGGGGGGGGGGGGGGGGGGGGGGGGAGAGAAAACCTTTCCCTCCCTCTTTTCTTTCCCTGCAGACGACGCTATCATTGAACGTGCGCGCCGCCTCGCTTCGCTTGGGGTAGCGTGCGCTAGCCGGTGGCGTCACTAGGGTCAGCGGCACCCGGGGCGATAACCCGCCACAACCCTCCCTCCCTCTCCCTCTTCTCTCGTGGTCCACCCCAACCCCCCCCCCCCCCCCCCCAGAGCTCTGCAGTCCGCCCGCCCCCCCCCCCCCCCCCTCCCTCTAGGGACGCTAGATTTATGAAGATTCGTCTTTTTAGTACTACCGTATTTTTTCACGCGTGATATATCTCCCGCTCACGTATCTCTCAGGTATCTTCATTTAATCTAAGAAAGGTTTCAGCAGTAGTTTCGGAAGAATAATTGTATCGCAAGTGGGAATAGCATCGGGTTCAGAGAGAAGTGTTCGCGACGGACCCGCGGAAACATACTTTATTTAGAAGGAATTGCAATTGCTTGCGGGCTAAGCTGTGACGTCGACATGTGAGAAAAGAAAAATAAAATGAGAAGTTTGCAGATCTCTGTAAATGCGAAATTAGAACGCCGCTCTTGAGCAAGAGGGGGGAAGGGTATGCCCCACCTCCTCGCCCGAACCCTCTCCTCCTCCCCTCCTCTTCCCTCCTCCTCATTTCCTCCTGTCCTCCTCCTCCGTACGCTCCCCTCCTCCTCCCGCGTACCGTCCCATTTTCCTCTTTTTTACCCTACCATCCTCCTTCTTGCCCTTCCCTCCTCCCATAGTTTACCCGCTAAATTTAGCTGAAAAATTGACACCACGTGACCTCAACACCAATTCGATTCCCCGCTAAATTGAGCGGGGAACCGAATTGGCGGTAAGGTCACGTGACGTCAATTTTCCCGCTAAATCTAGCGGAGAAACTAAATTTGTCCGCTAAATCTAGCTGAGAAATTGAATTTCCTCGCTATATTTAGCGGGGAATTGTATTGGTGTTGAGGTCACGTGATGTTAATTTTCACGCAAAAATGAGCGCGGTTACGCCGACGCCGCAAAACCCGGAAACGGGCGCCTAAGAGCTGCGCCTAAAATCACGTGGAATTTCCAGCCACGACGACCACGTTAAGCACTAAATTAAATTCAGACCGTTGGATGCGGCGATACTCGTGTTATTCGCAATAATGACGACGAAAAGAGCGTGTCTGTAGGAGCAGAAATGAAGGCCATTTACTCTCCTATACATTCGTATATGTTAAACATTTTTAGGACGCTGTCAAGCGTTTTTATAGCGACTCAAACACCAGCTTATATACTCATTTTTTTTAGCCTGCATGGGGCAGTCCTCCCTTGTATCGAAAATCCTTTCGTCCGATGCGATGAAGCTCGTTTCTAATCGCAACACACTTGTTGGCCCCGTTCACTGCACAACATGCCGGCATCGCTAAGCCACGGCAGCGATGTCGAACTCAAAACACCAACATATCACCTCATCCCAAGCGTTGGCTGCACGGGAAACGAAACTAAGCACGCACTCAGCAACTAAGCACGCACTCGACGATTCATCGTCCCGGAAGCGAGCGCTTGACAGGCTTTTTAACTCTTTCGAGTGCTCTTTCAAACAGTGTTCAGGGCGCTGTTTATTTTTTATTTTTTTTGTTATTTCAGGAGAGCCTGTTTGTTGTGCAGTAACAGGGCATGTAGACCCTAGAACTCTCCTGGGCCCGTTTGCTCGAAGCGCAAACCGTGGCTAAAGTTAGCCGCAATACCTAGGAGAGGGATTTTGAAATCCCGTGACTGGGGGCTCGTTAGGGATGCGAGAAAACATGGCGGTGCCCTGGTAAGGGAGTGCCGCCCGCTTTGGAACTAACATGTCGTTGTAGCTGCAATATCGGGCGCGTTAGTCAGCAACGAATGGTGCAGGAGGCTTTCGCTTTGCCTTACCTCATTTAAATAGCAAAGCATGAGCAATGACCTCGCTGCATTTTTTAGATAGTCTTTCGATTCTGGCTATTCCTAAGCCTAATTGAACGCGATAATTGTTGGCATAGCAACGCCCCAAAATGGCAGCGCGTAGCCCCGCTGCCATTTTTTTCCATCGGGCACATGTTGGGTGGACTCGGCTCGGCACCCCCTCCCAAGTGGCGCCCGGGGCACTTTTACCCCCCTAGTTACGCCACTGCTTGAACTTGAACCTCTGTGTGAAGGTTAAACAATTTTTTTTAAATTACAGCAAAATAGACCGACCGTAATATTACCGCGATATCAGGAATACACATGAAAATGTATTTCGATACAGAAATACAAGATACAGTCAGGCCGGCGCAGCCGTAGGCTTGGCTATGGTAACGCGCTTCGGGCGCCCGAGCGAGTCAAGAAGCGAGAAAAAAAGCGACCGAAGAGCGAAAAAAAAAAAAAAAAAAAAGAAGAGACAAGTAGGGTGACGTCACGACGACGTCAAATATGTTAAAACCCACTCCGGCAACTAGGACGGGTACAGCCATTAACATCCCTGTTTCCTCGCGGCGCTCTTTGCGCGCTCAAGCGTAGGGTTCTTGTTTCCGCCGCTTCAAAACATGGCGTTACAATCGCCGCCTCTACTGCTGCCGGGACTTGCCCCTAGATGGCGCAAGTTGTCCTGTGCATCCTATACTCCGTGTCACTAGTTGTGTGCAGTGAAGGCGAAGGCAACGCCAGGCAAAGAGAGAAAGGGCAAGCGCTAGAAAGGCAGGACGGGAGAGGATGGCAGTGGAAGGCGAGGGGAGAAAGTGAGAGCACTAGGAACGTTAGAGAGGAGAGGAGATTTCTCTCTTCCTCCCCAGCCTTCCTGGTGCTTGTCCTTTCTCCCTTCGTCTGGTGTTGCCTTCACCTGTACTGCACGGAACTAGTGAGAAGGAGTATAGACGGCCGCTTCGCTGCCACTCGCTTTCACACGCCCCCCCCCCCCCCCCTCCCCGTTTGCTTGCCTGATGTTATATTTCCTCAATTTCCTTCTCGTCTTCTGGGGCTTTTATTCTATATCTTTTTTATTTTTATAAATCACTGCAGAGTAACTTCAGAGAAGACATGCTCCTCAAGTGGGTAGGAGGCAAGGAGCACACATTTACTTTTCATACATCCTTTATTATTTACACAGATCTCGTACATAAAATAGAAGATATATAATATAATAAATTTTACGGAACAATAGAACGGACAGCATGAGGAACACGAAAGAGCATAATGAAAGAAATATACATTTATAAAAGATATCGCACCGCCGCAGTTTTGATCAGCATAAACTTGATTGTTTTCTGCAGACAAAAAATATAATTTTGTTTTTGTACTCAGCTGATAGATGATTTGCTTCATGGTTTTTGTGCTTTCCTATCAGCTGCAGAACTTTTAAAATTAGGTTTTGGCATATTTCTTCCTTTAAAAGGCGTAAATTCGCCAGGGTTCAGACCAGAACAACTGGAGGAACTTTTTTAGCAGAATGCTGGACACAGAAGGCTCTCCGACGTTTCTGTCGTGAAAGCGCAAAGATTCTTCATCACATCATCCTTGTTTACCAGATTGAGAATGCACGCCAGAGAGCACTCAAGCTGCCCACTAATGTAAGGCAAGCGTCTGTGGGCACAAAGAGAGCACCAAAGATGCCTGTGTCGTCCTGTGCGCTTAGCACGTGGTACGGTTCGATCTGCTTGCAAATTTCGAGTGCAACGTCGCTCATACATAAGCAAAAACGAACACAAACGTGGGCGGCAGCATAAGTGCTGTGTTCACGGGGTTTCTGCCGCACGAGACTGAAAATCGCAGCGATCGCACCACAGAAAATGGGCTTGAAACGAAACCGACGAAAAACGACACTTTACCTCTCGCTTCGGAACTCCTTTGGGAATACAAAGAACGACAAGCAGTGGCGTACCAACTTGTCTTTGACGGGGGGGGGGGGCGCAAACCAGACCCCCCCCCCCCCCCTCTGGTCGGGGGGTGGTGCCCATGATATCTCTTGGCCGCCGACGGACAGTGTCTGCCCTGCCCAGTGGCGGCTGTTTCAGGGGCGGGGGGGGCAAAACAGATGTCTTGCCCCCCCCCCCCCCCCCCTTTGAGAAGTGGGAAAGGGGGGGAGGCAAGCGCCGCCCTTGCCCCCCCGGTTGGTACGCCCATGACGACAAGACTTTCGACTTGCTGGAGTTCCAGCAAAATTTCGCAGCGTAGTTGCGCCGAAGCATCATATTCCGAAAGCACCAGAACTTTCGAAGTCAAATTAAAGCGGATCGAGCGAACACCACGTTTCCCACGTGCACTCGGAGCAGACGATCACGCTCATCGGATGTCGGCGTCCGTTGCGCCATTGCCACGGTTGCCAAAGACGACGGCGGGGCTCGGCCGTAGTATGGAGCATAGGTGGCAGTGTCGATCGTAACGCCATCTTTTGATGCGGTGGAAACAAGAACTCTATGCTTGAGCGCAGAAAGAGCGCCCCAAAATAACCTGGATGTTAACTGCTGTACCCGTCCTAATGGCCGGAGTGGGTTATTAACATATTTAACGTCATCGTGATGTCACCCTGACTCTTGGCGGTCTCACCGAGGTTTCCTTGAACGCCGCTAGCTGCGTTAACCCGATACATTGGAAAAAAAAAAGTATCACATTACAGAAATATAAAGACATAGTGTATTTCTGAAATACTATCGCGACATATTTATGTCGCGATACTGCCCAACCTTGCCGCAAAAGCCCCAAATTGCCGACGGAAGCAGACGGTTAAAAACGATGCCGCGTTCTCCGCTTTCGCGCTGCATAAGCGCCTGCTGGCCGTGCTTACTTTGATTTCGGTAATTTCGGTCATTTTTCTCGCTGAAACTCTTTTGAATCAAGATGGTCCTTAAAAAAATGGGTTTCGTATGTTGATGTATACCCTATATGTGATATATTTTCATAAAGAATGTAAATACTACATGCTACAAAAAAAAAAAAAAACAAGAAAAGAAAATAATACAAACGGCCGCTTTGTGGCGCTACCTAGGCGCTCGTGCATGTTGTAAAGTGGTGCATCGGGCCTGTACACCTAGTGGAGAGGAGCCGACAGGCACAGCGCAACTTATATAAGGCACTGGTTGTGTAATAGAAACTGCTGTAGTAAATTACGTTGCCAGTTGTTTTGTGGATACGAGGTCCACGGATGCGCAGAAACGAAAGAAGTTGGGGCTTCAAAATATGTTTTTAGATTTTTTGTTGTTGTTTTCTAGGTGGGTGCTACAGAAGGTCATTGCCATACCACTGCGCGAATGTTTCACAAAACAGTATTGTACGACCTGTTTTAGCATATTCAAATGTGTTTAACTTTACCGGGTCTTTTTGTCATTTCTGTTAGCTCAATTATTTTGACACCATATCATCATCGGCTGAAAGAAGTTGGCAATTTTAAGCATAAAACATTCGTTTTTTTTTGTTTGTTAGAATAACAGTGCGTGATCATTCATTAAATCGATCACAAGTTCTTCCAGAGAACCAAAACGAGCAGTTTGAACATAAATAATACATTGATAAACAAATTTACAGAGACTCTTATGTTATTTCTAATACGACTTGAAGGTGAAAGCCCAAGCGCCGATGCATTAAAGACAGACACATGATTTACGTAATTCACTTTGACTGCTCTTAATTCGCTTTGTCATCCGCTTAATTTTATTGCTTCTAACTCGCCTGAGTGGTCACGTAAACAGCGCGCTCTCTGACGACGCACTTTTGGTGCCGTTTCATTGGCTCATTCGGATGGTGGCGTTGGCTGTGGTCCCGGTGATAGCGAACCTTCGAAGACAGCGCCCTCTTTGACGACGCACTTTTGGCGCCGTTAACCTCATGGCATGTCGCACGCCCGCTGAGAGAGCGAGAGAGTCATCCTTTCCCACTGGGTTTGAACCTCGCGCTCCTCCGCAGATTCTGGCATAAGTAACGCCATCTCGTGGTCCAGTGGCGAACCGTGGGTTTTGGTACTTTTAGTGTCTCCGACATGTTTTCGTTCAAGCATTGAACGATATTAGACGTATAAGGCTTTCGCCTCACTAAATGTTTATTGCCCGTCAGGTGTATGACGGAGGAAGACCGAGAAGAAAAGCTGCACAGACGGAGCTTGATAAATCCTGGCCCCAACCTCCTTAGAAATGGCAGCGGGGCACGCGAATAAAAACGCACAAAAAAGGAAAAGTAAAATAAAAATTATCACGAAACGCCCGCCTGTGGCGTGCCATGACACATTGATGAGTTGCATCTCCCCATGTTTATTCAGGACCATCTCGGTAGTATAAACCTAATAAAAAAAATATACCAACACTTGAAAACGATTTTATACTCTGAACATATTGTTTTCGTAAAATGGCTGCCACATTTCAATTGGTGATATTTGGGCATAGCGACAAATAAACTACAAAACGTTTAACCATAACGATAATAAATAGCAATAGCCCCTAAGAAGCAAAAATAGAGCTAGTGGTAGAAACCCTTCAAATTTGAAAGTCCTCTAAGCGGAAAATGAAGGGATCAGGAATAATCAATATACCCCATCATAGTCAAAACTTAAAAAAAAAACAAAAAAAAAACAGTCCATACAGATTTGCAAGAACGGCCCCTGGGCGCTGCCATCTTAATCAAGCCCGGATGGATGAATGCTTGTGCATTTTTCTTTGTTTCCGACAATAGCTTCCGCCACCTAGGCTAGAAATTTTTATAACCACCTTTTGTAGCATTTTGATACGAACTTTTGTCCTCCGTTAGAACGCATAACCCACAAAGGTTGTGCGCAGTTTCACACTTTCTGTATCTCTTCCCGGATGAATAGATGCTAGTAACTTTTCCATTTATACCGGGCGGTAGCTTGCGCCGCCTAGCCTCTAGAAACCTTCTGTGCCTCCTTTGAATATTTTGCCCCGATTTTTCTTCCCCCGATTGCGCGCGGTTTCACACTTCCCTGTATCTCTTCCACTAATCCGCTAATCTTCTCTTTGTGATTGTAATGTCGTTATCATTTATTCTTCCATTCTCGCCTGGAAACCTCAGCGTTTCGGCCAAATCTGTCGCTGCCTCCGAAGGGGCGGAAGCTAGTCCTGTGCATTTTAGTATCGCATGTTCTATACTGTCACATTTTCCCCTTGGCGTACGGCACACTGCACCCAGTTTTGCCAGACTGATGCTCTAGCAAAGCGTGCTACAGCCACAGTGGCCAGACAATTGTTTGAAGCATGTCTACTTGCAAACTTATATACCAGGTAACTTTTTGACATTGTGAGTGGCGCCATGTGATCCAAACCTTCAAATATCACAGATCGGGTAATTTATTTTTGTCGGTGTCTTCTTCCCATTGCATTGCTGCTGTAACGACTCAAATGCGTGACACTGCCGCAGGTATCAGCTGGACAGCATCAGTACCCCGACGCACGGCGGCACGCATCTTGACTCGCCTCTACACTTCAATAAAGCAGGCTGGTCAGTGTCCCAGATCCCTATACAGAGGCTCATGTTCCTGCCCATTGCCCTGCTCGACATCCAAGAACAATCGGCAAGCAATCCGGACTACCAGTTGACCGTCGACGACATCCGACAATGGGAAGACCGGAACGGACGGCTCCCCGACGGCTGCCTGCTCCTTGTACGCTCCGGACGAGCCAAGGTACGGATAGAGTACCCAACTTCTTACGACTGGTTCACATACTTGCGTTTGGTTGTGACCGAATGTGTTACGCAACAATGTGCTCCCTTGTCATCGCATACGACGAGAGAAAGCACCATCGCGCTGGCACCATCTGTTAGGCGGCCTTGGAACTGCGTATAAATAGACACTGTCGGGCCAGTCAGCAAAGAATTTCTTACGGCCTTTGCTTTAAATTAAGAAGCAATGGTAGATTTTTTTCCGCTTGGGGGCCCGACAAAGCCACTCCTCCGAGTACAGCCTGAACCCCCCTGAACAATCTGTTCCGACCGCCGTAATTGAAACTGTGTGCCAAGGAACAGTGCTCAACGAAACGAAATGGACCAACGGAACCCGTAGCTTCGCCTATACCCAGTTACACTAGCGATGCCTAGAATAAATAAAAGGCGGAGCTATATGATTACTCTAGGCTTATGGTTTACGAGCTAAAACAACTGTATAGACGATTGCAAGTGGGGCGACTGGCTGCCGCCATGTCTCTGCAAGTGCAAGTAGTCCGTTCAAATGCAGGCTTGCCAAAGTTACGCTCACTTGTACGCTGCGCACGCCTGTACACATGGTGCACCAGTGGGGGCCCATGTTTGCCATCAACCATATGCAAAAGGCACAGCGCCATCTAGGGGGGCGCCGAACAGCATGCTCCATCTCACCAGTATAGCTTCGTCACTAGCAAGGGCCAGGGCGCGGAAGCCTATTAGCGGCTAGATGTTTTGGTGGCACCCTCCTATGGTTCCCCCTTGTGACGTCATTACCTTGCGAACAACAAGTTCGATGGTGTTTGTAAATAGCATGGTGGAAGCCCGAAATCATTGCGCCCTCAAAGCACCATTGCCACCACCGTCGAAATTAAAGTTCTTTAATGCCTCTTATTTCCGTCGATGGTAATACCCTTTCCGACGTCATAGTCAGCTTTTGGGCCAATCGTGGAAGGCCGTCCACAGCGACGCTTTCGGTCGCGCACGTCGCCAATAGTTCCGAAGAATCCTTCGCTTGCACAGGCACTCGCGCCGAGAAAGCTCTTTCGAAAAGCAGGCGCCTGCGCCCGTGCCTTTGTCTTGCCGCCACTCAAAGCCAAATTTTGAGCTCAAGTGTACGTCCGCCATGTTGGCTGCGGCGAGAAACCAGCAATCGGCGGGGCGACGAGCACGCACATGTGAAAGAGCGTAAAACGACAACACCCCTTAGATTGTAGGTGTAGGCGAGGATCGATGAAAGTGAGCAACAGGCTTTGATTGTTACCGGCAACGCTACGAAATTGACAAACATCAGAGGAATCTCGACGCAACAAAGATGGCAGCGCACGGAGTGTTGCCAGACTTTCCAACAATTTCGCATACGGTCTTTTGTCTATAGACGCTTTACAGCAGCTGTGCATGGGCGCCGCCATAAATGACCTTCAGTTTTTGTCCCCTCTTATTCCGTTCGCTTCACATCATCATTACTACAGCAGGAAAGGTTATTGCCATTTTAGATGCTACTGTGTTCTTGTGCCCAGCATAGGCCCTTGTGAAGACCCGTCAACGCCCGCTTCAGTGGCTCGGCATCTCGGTAAAACAAGAGAAGGGCGGCTATGGCGGCTCAATCTGGCGCGTGTGTAAAGCGTCTATATTCTCCCCAACAGCGTGAAGCCACTTTAAATGATTCAAAGCTCTGCAAAAGGGCTGAGGTCGAAGCGACCCCACCAAGCTGGGGCCAAAAAAAAAACAAAAAAACAACAACAACAACAACAAAAAAACAAACAAAAAAACAAAAAAACAAAACGCGCCTTTTCATTTTAGTTTGACCGTGGATAGGTTGAAGTATTTTCAAGATCAAACGTAAGTACTATCTATGAGAAATGGTCTTGTATAACATCGGCAAGAGCAAAAGTGTTTTCAAGCCCAGGGTGAAAGAACGGGGCGCAAAACAAATGAGAAAACGCAAGTAAATCTCGAATGTTTTAAAGTTACCGGACAGATGGCGCCAGTGTGGTCTTTGGCAATCGCGAGCGCAAGAGTTCGCGCTCGGTCACCACTAGACGCGAGTGAGTGAACCGGTCTTTACGTGGGCACTTTTTTAATTCAGTAATGTCGGAAAAGTTGAGCAGTTCTTCCGTGAAAGAGTGCTCCAGAAACAGAAGCCCAAAACTAGAAGAAAAAGAAACGAAAAAAAGGAACGAAATGCGACACAACACAAAATGTCTCAAACACAGCTAGATCTGTGTTTGAGACGGTGTGTGTTGTGTCTTGCTTCGTTTATATTTTTTTCAGTGTCGATATTTTGTTTTAATTACAAACAAAAAGGTTTTTAAAAAAACGAAAAAGAAAGACGTTTGCGATTCCGTGTAATGCCGAATTAGAGCGCAGCTCTTGAGGAGGAGGAGGGGAAGGTACGGAGAGGAAGGAATGCCCCTCCTCCTCATCCGTACCCAGCTCGCCTGCTCCCCTCCCATTTAGCGGGAAATTTTCGCTAAATTCCCCCCTAAATTTAGCGGGAAATTTTTCCAGCTAAATTTAGCGGGGAATTTTTTTCGCTAAATTTAGCGGGGAAAGTTAGCGGGAACCACAAAATTAAGATATGAGCTGTATCCGGTATTAAATTTGCATGAATTTCTGTCTCGCAACGGGCGAAAGGAGTACAGCTGCCATCGAGCTCACCATCAATTACAGCCTTCGTTCACCTCGGGTGACGAAGAGAAAACAACCTATCGCGGACGGCGACCGCATTCGTTTTAATTATCCATTCAAGCAAGCGACGAGAAAACTGGTTCGCGGCTGTTATGCGGGGAAGCGAAGACACGGATACTGAGAACCGGTAAAGGGGAGGGGGGGGGGGGGTTGTTTTATCGACTGCCGCAAATAATTTCCTTGTTTACCTTTGTTTTTTTGTTTTTTTACTAAGATAGAAGCATTGGATCGTTTGCAATCTTCCTCGAGGAAGAATATTGGTCCGAAAAGAGCAATATATATATTTGCAGCATTATTCACTGACGGTAAAACACGAAGACAAGTCTTCGCACTTAAATGGTCAGTATAAAAGACTCGTGGGCAATCAAGGGAGTTCGCGATTAGAATAATTAGAGTAAGTGTGCCACGTGTGTTCGTCGTATTTGTATGCGATCTGTGTTGAATGCATTGTATCAATTGTGCGTTGAAAATGTTTGTGTGCAAGTTATGTATCCATTTACAAATGTGGAACCGTTAAAATAATATATATATATATATATAAAACTTTTTCGCATATCTATCTATCTATCTATCTATCTCTCTCTCTTTCTCTCTCTCTCTCTCTCTATATATATATATATATAAATAGATAGATAGATAGATATGCGAAAAAGTGCGAATGAGTAATCCAGGTGGCGCTAGTAACCGTTCAATGAAAATTTGCAGAAAAAAAAAATATATATAGAGAGAGAGAGTATTCACTGGGCGCCATATTTGTGGTTGATGTCTAGAGCGCATGCTCTGAACGAGCTCACATTAATAGGCTGCTAAGACCGCCAATCTTGGGGGTGCGAAATGCACGTTACAAAAGAACCGTGAAAGCTCGCCATCAGCACGCGCTCAGCAGTCGTGCACACAGCTATGGCCGCCAGTGAATACTTCCTATATATATACATACATACATATATATACATAGATAGATATAAATCTGTAGCAGCCGAGCTAGTGGTGCTTCAGCGACGAGGAAAAAGAATCATGTCGGCACGAGCACACAGAACGACAAGCCACGAGCTTCGAGATTCGGCGACCGAGCGGCCTGGCGGCTACATCGAGCGATGCCCAGGGCCCGTTTGCTTGAAGCTGGTTAACTTTAACCGCGGTTAAAAGTTAACCGCCCTTCCCTACTAGGTACCTACAAGTACCTAGCCAAGTTTGACGAGGGCTGGATGAGCGATAGCTCCGTGTTTTATTATTGGGGTGGTAGCTGGTGTCACCTCTTGGCTGTAGCAAATATAAGTGGCTTCCGTGGAGAGGTTCCATAAATGGGGGGACCCAAAAATGCGCGCTACCGTGTTTTCGCGACACAGCGCGGCATACATTTGAGCTCGAGAAACAATTTTTATTGCTCGTGGTACAGGTAATCGGTAAGGTAAAACTAAATTAACCCTTGTTTGGAAAATTTCTAATTATTTGGCTTTCTGAAGTGAAGACAAGCCTCGTTGAAATTTCCTTCCAAGTTCGAAAGTGGACGACGAAGTTCAGTCCTAGAAACGATGAGAAAGAAGTGAGCAGTAAAAGGCGGGCGTTACACCGGCAGCATGGTTGGCCAGCATGTGAGAACTGTATATAACACCGTCATAAATTGAAAAACCTGATATTCGCTTCCAGTGAAAATCGACCTATTAGTAAATTACCCTAACATCGAGAACACTGGAAGTGTAATTCAACGATCAGCGCGCGCTGGCCTTCCACGTATAGAATACTCGAAGCAAATAATCATAATACATCTTTGATGAACGCGCGTGCACGGCAAAATTTGTTGTAGGCCTTTTGTTTTAGAATACTCACTACTGCAGACGCCAGCACGAGCAGCGCGTGTAACTACACTCTACTTTGTTTTACCTCATGATGGACCACAGGAAAGGCTAAAAGCGCGAGCTCCTTGCTCTAGGGCACATCTCGGCGGCACAAGCTCGCGTGCGTTGAGAGCAGCTCCTAATGCCATGAGCTCGCGCTTCAAGCCTTCTCTGCGGTACAACATAAGGTGAAACGGAGTATCGTAGCATGCGCCTCGGTGCTTGGGAAATTTAGCAAAAGGTCTATGGGGACGCTGTCTGCTTTTGTGTGCTATCAGTACCCGGCCGATTGAGTCAAGGCATTCCACTTTTCAAAGACGTTGCCATGCCGACAATTATCGCGTTCATTTAGGCTTAGGAATTGCCAGAATCGAAAGACTATCTGAAAAATGCGGCGAGGTCATTGTTCATGTTTTGCATTTTAAGTGAAGTAAGGCAAATCGAAAGCCTCCTGCACCATTCATTGTTGACAAACGCGCCCGATATTGCAGCTACAACGACGTATTAGTTCCAAAGCGAGCGGCGCCCACTCACCGGGGCACCGCCATGTTTCCCCGCCGTCCTTGCTCTGCCGGTCACATGACCTAAAATTCCCCCTCGTAGGGAAATCCGGTTAACCGCGGTTAGTTAACCAGCTTCGAGCAAACGGGCCCTGGCAGGACAGTTTCATTTCTTTTGTAAATATTGTACATAAAAAGTATGTTGGGCGCTATATTCCTGGTTCCAACATAATTGGTGACACGGACGTGATCCTGCCATGTCTACGGAGTCTGGTGAGCCTGCACACCCGGCAAGTGCCTCCCAAGCAAGCGCCGCCTTGGAGATCGCAGCTACCGCGGTCCTCACTTTACCGAAGTTTTGGGCTGAATATCCAGCGCTCTGGTTCGTGCAAGTGGAAAACAAATTCCGCTTACACCCCTTAACCTCCCAGACTCGGCAATACGAACTCCTCGTTGACGCCCTCCCGCCGCAAGCCGCTACCGAGGTGCGAGACGTTTTACTTTCCCCAATCGGTGACACTTCTTACGAAGTTCTCAAAGAAGCCTTGGTCAGTCGTCTCGTCGCATCTGAACACCGACGCCTTCAGCAGCTCCTCAGCGCAGAAGAGCTAGGCGACCGTCGACCCACCCAGTTCTTACAACACCTGCAACATCTTCTGGGCGACAAGGCGGCCTCCATCGACGCCGCCATCCTCCGTGAGCTATTTCTACAACCGCTACCGGATTCTGTTCGTGTCGGCCTAGTGGTAGACAACAGGCTTCCGCTCGTAGAACTCGCCAAGCTGGCGGATCGAATTATGGAGGTTTCCGGTCCCACCATCGGAGCAACACAGCGGTCTCCAGACCTTCTTTCGGACATCGCCGAGCTCCGTCGAGAAGTGCAGAACCTGACGACCATCGTGTCCGAGCTTCGACGGGAATCCCATGACCATGCTCAATCGTCACAGCAACACTCTGGTTGCAAGAGTCGCCGTCGACCATCACCGTCGCCTCGCCCTCCAGACAAGTCGCTATGTTGGTACCACCGACAGTTTGGACCGAAGGCCCGCCGCTGTTGTTCACCCTGTTCCTTGAACCAGAGAAACGGGACGGCTAATCGCTAGCGGCGGCGAGCGACCCATATCGGCCCACCAGTCGCCTTTTCCACATCTACGACAAGATCGTCGGCACCCGTTTCTTACTAGACACAGGCGCTGAGGTCAGCATCATTCCAGCCTCATATTTTGGTCGCCAGAATCGCGACCAAACTACATCATTGCAAGCTTTCAACGCTTCCCCCATCAAAACGTATGGATAAAAATCACTAGCGTTGGACCTTGGCCTCCGACGACGTTTCCAGTGGTTGTTCTGGGTTGCAGACGTCAGCTACGAAATAATTGGAGCGGATTTCCTTCGGAACCTCAACATCTGGGTGGACATGACACAAAGAAGGCTCATTGATGCGACCACTCACCAACAAGTCTCTGGTATTGCGTCTCGAGCGCCAACTCTTAGCCTCACTTTCAGCAAGCCACCTTCCAACTCATTTGCCAGTCTGCTCGAGGCCGCATAACATCCACGAGGTACCTAAACATGACGTCACTCATCATATCGTGACGATATGACGAGTGACGTATGTATATATATATATATATATATATATATATATATATTTTTATTGAACGGTTTCATGCGCCACCTGGATTACTCATTCGCATTTTTTTATATTTGTTGTGCCTGCCATCTGGTGGTAAGTGGTAAAACCACACTCGCCTTTTCTTCACCGGAAATCACGTGAATCGTTGCGTTTCCGGCCTTCTATCGGGAGGTAGTGCCGTTTACTAGTTAGAGGCAGTGAAATACAGGGGTTCTACTTTGAGGCTAGTGACAGTTACTTGCTTTTATACCTAGTAACAGTCACTGGCTTGACCATTACTACCTACGGTTACTATGTACCTAGTAACATATGTGACAAGCAGTTGCTAGCTTTTAACTAATTAATGCTACTAGCTTTTTTAAGAGTACAGCCTAACAAACATTTAACTTCACCCCCTCCTCCCTTCCAGTACCTCGTCCTTCTGGGCTCTTCCTTGAAGCTACGCGGTGGAAAGTCTGCTAAACATCAGGTTTATTCCATCTTTCGTACAAAACTGTTGTTCATGTTCCGCAACTTGCTTAACAAAAAATTATGGTCCCTTACACCAGACGATCACATTTGACGGAGAGCAATTAACTCGTTGCATGGTAAACCCAGTTGTGGCGAGGGTGATTGAAAGTTGGTACACGTGTTTTTGAGCTTACACACAAAGGCCATCATTACATATAGTTATGACCATTGTTCCGAATTTCTTTCTGCGCAGTTTTGGCCCGACCGGTCACCCTACTTGGGCCAGGATTCTCGGGGACGCCGCCACTTCCCCTCCATTTCGCCCAACGCGGCGCGCTATCTGGCGGAGCAGCGGCAAGTCTACGGCGTCGGCTTGGACACGCCTTCGCTGGACATACCCGGACAGACCGCGACGCACGTCATCCTGTCAGCGCGGAACATTTACAACCTCGAAAACCTGGCCGACCTGAGCCTCCTTCCCAACACGGGGGCACACGGTGTAGTTCTGCCGATGAAGATAGATGGCGCCAGTGGCGCTTCTGTTCGCGTCGTGGCCATTCTACCTTAAACGATAATATATATCTTTGCGCGGTACTCTTTCGCTAGCGAAGGTTCAAAGGGGGCGCAATCAAGGTATCTTAGAGGGCGAATGGTCGCGCACGTGCGCACAAGTGGCTTTTGCTCGTCACACAGGAGAGGAGGCTCAATTACTGAAGTCACGGCCGCACCGCTAATGCGTCATACAAAAGCCTGCCTGCAGACAGTGCTTGAGGCTGTCCTTGCCTTGTTCGACGGTTCTGTGACATGGGTCCTACAAAAAAAAACTGTTTTAATGCGAAAGCATTAACTGTCCCACGGAGCGGAGCCGACGGAATCTGTAACATCGAAAAAACGCGAAAGGGATGCCCCTTCTCCCATTGGCTGAGCAAAACGGCTCCTAGATAACCATTGGCGGCCGCTTCACGAGAGCGATCGCTCGGCCGCAGCTCTCCGTATCAGGCCATACTATATACTGGCAAAGCCTGGCAAATCACCACGAGAAGTGGCCGCCGAAATGAAAAAGGTGGAGTGGCAGACAACGGATAAGAGGAGAGCCACGTGACTGGCGCCCCACTGCGGCGAGACGCCGAAACACAGCGTCTCGTCGCTACGGCGAAACTCGAGGACCCGAAAGTATGTTTCGGGTCCTCGCCGCTGCAAAAACTGTGCGCTGACGTCCACGGTTCCCTACGTTTCCCGAGATATGGCTCTTTGATGCTCCGCGCTACCAGATCCTCGCGCTCCAAATCTGCGACCGGGCAATCTATGGCTCCGTCGTTGAACTGCCAGGCTTTGTGAGTATAGTGGAGGCTATGGTCAGGCATTGCCGGAGGGGGGGGGGGGGGGGGGGGGGGGAGGGAGGAGGCTGCGGCCGCTTCACAAGAGCGCGCGCTCGACCGCCACTCTCATGTCTGGCGTTGCCGGTAGAGGGGGGGGGGGGGGGGGGAGGGGGAGCTGCGGTTGCTTCTGCTCCTCTCGGCGTTGAGGAACATGACTCAGCTGTCGTCGGAATTTTTTTGACATTTTCAAAGTATACATATGCAAGAAGTGAACACGCCTAGAACCCGCTTGAGTCGTGCCCGCACATAATTTTGTTATTGAGTCTAAGCGAATAATAATTGACATTCCGCGTAATGCGGAGTTAATCTACTCCCTAACTGGGGCCGCCGTTTTACGACGCGGATTTAACAAGATTCGAACATTCTTTCCGGTCATATAAACCTAATAATATATATTCTAATATTTTTTTAGTTTTTGATGGAAGACTATCATAGCTTGATACCAATAAAAAAAAAAAATAAACGAATAAAAAAGGTGTTTTTGAGAAAATCGATTTCCAATTTACTAGGCTTTTTTAAAGACTCGCTCGTTCATTGTATGGAACTTGTATTCGGCAAAAAGAGCTAACTCTGAGTTTTCTGCTGATATCAAAGTAACTATATTTTAGATAGGTCGCACGTAAGAACGTTTTCAATGTTACCCAAAATCAATAATGGGAGATTGTTACACATCCTTTCTTTTTAAATTGCTTAGATACAAGATTTAAGGACATTTTTTAAGGGTAGTGAAATCTGTTTTGAGTGTGTCACAGAAGAGTTCTGGTGCAGTAGTGTGAGAATTGTGACAAAAATAGCGAGCAGGTAAACATGCGATACTATACAATGATTGTAGTTTTTACATGTGAGCACTAACTTTTTTTCTGTATTGTTTTTTTGTTTTTTTGTTTTGCATTGGTTGTCCATATGTGGTTGTTGTTTTTTGTGTTGTGCCTGCAACTTCTTAGAGAGAATGACTTCCTCTTTTTGTTTTTTTATTCGCCACATATATTGTTCGATTGTGAGGGCGGGGAAACGGAACTTTGTCAAGCCGCACCAATATGGCTTTTTTTTCCCCTACCCCCCTCTATTCTCATTTCTGTGGTAAATAACGTTCAGTTGAATAAATTATAATTCAAATTGAAATCAAACAAATCCGTCACGCTCGCCGTTTACGCTGTCTTTCGGGGAAGACGCGGGTCGTTGACACTTACAATTTATATCTGCTCTAAGACAATGAAAGTTTTAGCTCCGTATAAAGATCTATTGTCGAAGAAAAGCCGATGTCGGCGGCGTGACGTGAAAATTCACGATTGGCCGGTAGTGTAATGACGTCAAAGCCGCATGACCTCGCGCGGGAATTTCAAACAACGCTCACGTGAAACGTGACGTCACGCGTGGAATGAAAGTGATTAAAAACATGACATATATTGGGAATGGCGGATTAAAGGTCGCCGCATGTCTCAAGCGATTTAAATTTATAAAGTAGTTTATTTGCCTTAAAGGAGCGGTGCAACGATATTCAATTGGAATGTTTTTCACTTTACACGAGCTTACTGGCACTAGTGGGACTCAAGGATACTCGCACGCAACGCCACTGACCAAGAAACTCCTTTGTTGCACTGTAATTTCGAGGACAAAACCGAGCATTTTCATTAAATCTCTCCTTCGCAAAACCTGATGACGTAGCTGGGCGGTAGCAGTACCGCCCAGCGACGATTTTTGAATGCGGCTCATAGATTGGACCCGAGCATTGCGTCGACACTCGATTTGGGCTCGTGATAATCTATAGCTCCAGAAGCATTCGGGTAGTGACCCGTGTTTAATCGCTGCAATGACGACAACAGCCGAACCATAACAATGTCTGGAACGCAGCGCGTGTCCTGTGCCTTGCCAACCCCAGCGCGTGGCTATGATCAACACTGGCGGCATATAATCGGCTCCAGATCACGTGGCTGCTTGTTCTGGCTGCGAGTTGAGGGGGTGAACTCTGCTTGTTTTTCTTTATTTTTTTCTGCGACTTCGATTGCGTGTGGTGAAAAACGAATGGGTATTTCACAGGTCATTAACGCCAGGGATCCGCTCTAAGCGGTATTTCCGCAAAATACAAAACTCGTTGCATCGCCCCTTTAAAGAAAAATTTTTAAAATTTTAGGCGGGAGTTGAGCCCACAACCCTTCGCTTGCGAAGCAGACACGCTACTGACTACCCTACCGAAAACCCCAGATACCTTTTCACTATCTGAATTATTGAACTAAAAATCTGTTTTTGGAAATGTGAAATCCAGATTGCGGACAAAGAAAAAATTTCTGACAGTCTGAAACCCAGATCGAATCCAGATATAATCCAGATAGAATCCAGTTAGAATCCAGATAGAATTCCAGTTCTATAATCCAGGAGCCGATAAATTATACTGGGTGTTTCAGTAGGGTAGGCCACGCAATGCACGCTTGCACGGCTTGAGAACGAGCGGGAGTTGATACGTTTATATGTTTCGCTATCGCGTTCAAAAAGACCAAAGCTTAAGCGTTCTCCTGTAATTTTTTTATAACGTTCTTAACACAATAGATTTATATGCTCCCTATGAAGTGTACAGTGCCAGAATGTAAGCAAAAGCTCCGTAAAAATATTTAATTTAATAAAAAGTAAAGTGTTCATCAAGCCTTCTTTCAATGCGAAAACATTAACTGCCCACGGAGCGAATCTAGCGTTTTCTGTAACCGTCCGCAGCAGCGAAACGGCAGTTAAATTCCTATTAACGCAAAGCACAGCAACGCAGACTTCGTCACGGAAGCCGGCGGGGCGCTCAAGGTCAAAGCGGACGAGCCTCAGAAATAAAACGCAAAGAAAAGCAGAGCAACGCAGATGCATCGTCATGGAAGACGTGGAGCCGGCGGGGTTCGCCGCGCCTGCGCAGTGGGGGAGCGGGATGTCACCGTCGGAGCGCCGTGCGAAAAACGAAGGCGTGGCGCGTTGCTTGTAGGAATGCGCTGCGTGTAGGAATACTTTTGCATTCCTACTCATAAGCAGTCTTAAGTGTCTTTAGCGTACGCTTCACTTTAATGACTTGGTTCATCACTTAGAGCCGTCGGAATGCTTAGAAGCCCTTTAAGAATTAAATATTTGCAAGAACACAACTACGATGTAGCAATTTCATGCAGATATCTGCGTTCTACGTACCCTCAAGATAATACAGAATATTTAATTATGATTGGAAGATTTTAAATACAAAATTCTGCACAATCTGTGAAGACAACACAACGTTTCCTCTTGTTGTAAGAGGTTTCAAATATCGTCAGCAATTTCATAGAATATGGCCAGAACATAGGTATAGGGTGTTCAAGAAATATTCATAGCCAATAAACCTGTCAGGCTGTACGTAGTGACTTTTTTGGCCCCTCTTGCACCCTGTGCCGTCAGACATCAACTACATTAGGCGTTCCTCCCACCTTCGCATTTGGGTCTTCAAAAGGTTTTGGCTAGCAGTCTTCGCAGCGACGGCTTCAACATGAAGTCTTGTGGTGCATTGGTGCTATAGCAGGCTGAAAGTCGAGCAGCAGCGCACAAGTTGGCGGCATTTAAGTTGACGGTAGAACTCGCGCGAGCTCCCCGTTGTCGTAGCTTCTCTTCCCGCTTATACATCCCCATCTGACGCGGCACGTTTCGACGAAAATGTCGAAAGGAAGAATTCACTCGAGACACATACTCTTGTCGGCATAGCTAGAGGGACGACAAAAGTCCCTTGTGTTTCCCAGCCGACTTCCAAACGTGTTCGTAGAAAATCTGCACTCGTGACAACATGCTTTTGGTATGTGAGAAGGCAATTTTCAAAAAGTCAAATTGGACGTTTTAGTGATTTATACAGCGTAAGGTTGGTCTGCCAGTGGGGGCGACACTGGTTTACACTTTAGATGAGCAATTTTGCCAGTGCAGTTAGACTGCTAACCTGGGGGTCTTTAACGTGCTCACGCAGTAGTAGAGAGTTTTAGTAGATCGTTCCCATGACTCCGATAACGATGTCCCGATACTTCGCCACCGCCTCCCTGGCGCATACATAGTATCGTTATCGGGGCTATCGGAGGTATCGGAACGATCTACTAAAACTCTCTAATGATACACGACCGCACGCCGGTACGATGCTCATCCAGATCGAAACGGGCAGGGGTGGGGCTCGAACCCAGGATCCCTGGGTTCTGCAGCGCGAGCTTTCGCTCCACGCGCGTCAAGCTGGGTGTGCGCTTTAGCCCACTCGGCCACCGATCCTTTTTTTTTTTTTGTCTTTATTGCGAGATTTCGACAGTGAACACAGATTCACAATGCACGATAAATTTCACTTGATCATGCACAATATTATATTGACGACGTTAGTGAAGGCGACGATAGAACGTCGCCTTTAAGGTTTGGAGAGGCGGTGAGAATTGTTAAAATTCTCTCATCATTGACAGCTTCAAAAAGGCAGGCAACCACTCCAGGTCCAGACATACTTTCTCGTACACAGCTGCTATCAAGTTTACATTTTCCATGAAATAATACCGTACTGGACGGGCATCCAGATCCGCGTGACGAACTGCCATCCTACATCTCCAAATAGCATGCAGACCCAGTAAAAATACGAGGTCATATGGGAAAGGCGTCCCTTCCACAGACAAGAAGCCTATTCCACGAGCCGTGAGCGGTAGGTCTTTTTTGAGAGTGCGTTGGAGCACGTCCCAGAACAGGATAGCATCCCAGCAGTCCAGGAACACGTGCTCCACGGTCTCCGGTTTCTTTCACAAAATACAATCCTCGCCCCATGGTACAAACACGCCCTTTTTTGCTAACCATGTCTTTACTGGAAGCGTGTTGGTATGTAGTTTAAAATAAAAGGTTTTCACAGATCCGGGAACTAGCATTCTTTTCACGCGGGGAAAGCACATCACGGTCAGTACTGTCGGAGAACAAAGAGCGATACAATGGGACGGGAAACAGGCTTTCAACAAGATCTCGCTTCAGACGCATTCCTGTGACAGAGTTTAAGTACTCTCTTGAAAATCGCACACTAAGACATTGGTACGCACAAACAACCTCTCTAAGAAAGCCCGTTACTTGGCCTTCGCATGTGTCACATGTCGAATCAATGAACTCGGGTAGCTCTCTGAACAACCGTACTTGAATGAGAGTTCTCAGAAACGGGTCAGCCTGGTCTCGCAAAAAGAAAAAACCTCGATACCAGCTGTCGTATAAACAAATGCGACAAACTAAGCCCCCCCGACTTCACGCGGCGAAAAAGTAGTGTTGACGATTGGGCTAGTTGGTCATTCATATTAGCGGAAAACAAACAGCGCAAGGACAAGGACAGAGTAGAAGGCGGTAGACGCACACAGCGCTGACTTACAACTGAGCTTTATTGGCACTGACAACCTGTATAAATACACAATTTGCCCTGCCCAAAAGCCAAGAAAAGAAACACAAGAGGAGGACTACACGTGTTCCTAGAGTCATCTGCAGGCGCCGTTGCTCTCCGATCTGAGTAGAAAAATACACTCCTTTTCCGTCAAGGCAAGTGACGGGGCACTAACACACTCAGAGCCCGATTGTCCAATGGCGCGGGCTTCTATAATCTCACGTGTCAGTTTATCTTTTTGTTTACTGATGACCGTGCATCGTTCAAAAACCGGAGTACATCCGCAATCGCGGCAATGCACCCCAAGGTGCCCCGACACAACCTGAGACACATTATATCGATGCTCTCTTAAACGCTCATTAAGACAACGTCCCGTCTGCCCTATGTATCTCCGGCCACAGGACAGGGGAATAGAGTAGACAACACCCGCAACGCATGTAACAAACTGGCTTTGGTGTTTCTTGGCGCACACCTGTCTCTCTATTACATGAGAGTTCACTCTTTTGCACATCATAGATAGCTTGTCTGGAGCCGAAAAGACCACGTGAACACCAGCTCGGCGTCCCACTTTTTTCAGATTATGGGATATTTTGTGTAGGTACGGTAGTACTGTGATGTTCCTGTTTTTCCTGTTAACTTGTTCAGCATTCTCAATCCGTCTTCTCTTTAGTAGAGTTTCTGCGACTGCCGTTAAGAGGCGCAACGGGTAGCCCGCGGCCGTGAGCCTCGCTACTTGATTCTTAAAGCTATCCTTGACTAAGTGAAAGCATGATTTATTAAGGGCGTTTTTAAAGCAAATGTTGATGATTCCCCTTTTTACCAGTTTAGAGTGGGCAGACGAAAACGACAGGAGGGGTTTATTACTCCTTGGTTCATAAAGCCAGCAGGTGTGTGTGGGGAGACACTGCAGCCTAAGGTCTAAAAATCTTATGGAACCGTTTACTGGTAATTCATGCGTGATAACCAGTGGTTCCAAGCATTTACTAAAAGTGGCCAAAACCTCAGAAATTTCGCCAGCAAAGTGGTCTGAGTCACAGTCAACAAGCACTAAGTAGTCATCTACAAACCTAAAAACCTTTTTTACCCTAGAGCCTTCAAGTCTATTAGATAAAATTCTGTCATAAAATGCAAGATAAATATTGCTCAATACGGGAGCTAAACAGGAACCGATGCATATGCCGTTTTTCTGAATGAAAGTCTCTCCATTCCAAGTTGTAAATGTCGACTTTAGATAAAAGGTTAAAAGCTCCAAGAAGTCTCTTACCCCCAGACCACATTCATTTTGAAACGCTACACACCCGTGGTTGTCAATACACTCTTCGACGCACATTAAAAGCTCCGTGTGTGGAATCGAGTAGTATAAGTCCTTAATGTCTACGGAACATGCTGAGAGGCATTGGTCAGGGCATTGTTTAAGGAAGTCTATTATCTGCTCCGAGTTTTTTACCTGAAAAGGGTCGTCAATAACTAAAATGTTCAATTTCGTTTGTAAAAACATGGCCACCGACTTCTGCCACGTTCCAAATTCGGATACTATAACGCGTAGCGGACAGTTGGCTTTGTGCGTTTTAGCTGAAAAAAACAGATCCAGATTCAGGCCTCTGCCCTTATCGACCGCTAGGGCTAGTTTATCTAAACTCAGCCGTTTGCAAAGTTTACGTGCTTCAATTTTTACTTTTGCTAGGGACACGTCATTCCTGCGTACAAACGTGGCCTCTATAGCGTCTAAAGCTTTCGAGTTGAGCATGCCTTTGGGTAGTACTACAAAGCCCCCCTCCTTATCAGCAGGTAACAAAGACAGGGCGTTATCCTTTAGGTAAGCGACTGTGGACCGCACAGGGACCCTGCTACCAGACGGCCTGCACTGCAGCAATACGTCTACACCATCCGCAATGCACCTGTCCGCCTCAGACTCCGCAGCTCGTCCCGACACTTGCCTTACCAGAGACAACAACTCTGGGGGCGACTTTCTCGGCTCGACGGCGAACTTGGGGCCGTGGCTCAGCACTTGTTCCACTTGTTTTGGAAGGCGGACGTCACCCAACTTGTGGACCTTGTTCCCCGTAGCCGCAGGACGCCTCCCAGGGATGCTCGCTCGAAGAAGAGGCAGTGTTTGCTGCCAGAGGAAGTCAGCCAAAAATATCCCAAAATCTGAAAAATCACACAAAATATCCCATAATCTGAAAAAAGTGGGACGCCGAGCTGGTGTTCACGTGGTCTTTTCGGCTCCAGACAAGCTATCTATGATGTGCAAAAGAGTGAACTCTCATGTAATAGAGAGACAGGTGTGCGCCAAGAAACACCAAAGCCAGTTTGTTACATGCGTTGCGGGTGTTGTCTACTCTATTCCCCTGTCCTGTGGCCGGAGATACATAGGGCAGACGGGACGTTGTCTTAATGAGCGTTTAAGAGAGCATCGATATAATGTGTCTCAGGTTGTGTCGGGGCACCTTGGGGTGCATTGCCGCGATTGCGGATGTACTCCGGTTTTTGAACGATGCACGGTCATCAGTAAACAAAAAGATAAACTGACACGTGAGATTATAGAAGCCCGCGCCATTGGACAATCGGGCTCTGAGTGTGTTAGTGCCCCGTCACTTGCCTTGACGGAAAAGGAGTGTATTTTTCTACTCAGATCGGAGAGCAACGGCGCCTGCAGATGACTCTAGGAACACGTGTAGTCCTCCTCTTGTGTTTCTTTTCTTGGCTTTTGGGCAGGGCAAATTGTGTATTTATACAGGTTGTCAGTGCCAATAAAGCTCAGTTGTAAGTCAGCGCTGTGTGCGTCTACCGCCTTCTACTCTGTCCTTGTCCTTGCGCTGTTTGTTTTCCGCTAATATGAATGACCAACTAGCCCAATCGTCAACACTACTGAACTTCATTTCTAATACAACGGGCCCTATTCAGTGTTTATCCGTGGACCCGAGTGTCCTGGTGGCTATAACTGCTGGCGCTGTATGCCGTTCCCGGGTGCTGGCTTTTTCCATTCGTCACCGAATCCTGCCACTGGATGTCCTGATATTGTTCGGTGGTTGCCAGCCCTCGCCTGGCCATGGGATGAGGATATGCAAGATCCTACGCACCGAGTGCCAGCGGCAGATACGGCTGTATCGTGAGTGCCTACACCTACGTCTTCGTGCGGGTGACCGTTCGTCCTGCGGTGGATCGCGGTGGCGGGAGCTCTCACGTACCATCGACAGAACGGCTGACTTCCTCTGGCAGCAAACACTGCCTCTTCTTCGAGCGAGCATCCCTGGGAGGCGTCCTGCGGCTACGGGGAACAAGGTCCACAAGTTGGGTGACGTCCGCCTTCCAAAACAAGTGGAACAAGTGCTGAGCCACGGCCCCAAGTTCGCCGTCGAGCCGAGAAAGTCGCCCCCAGAGTTGTTGTCTCTGGTAAGGCAAGTGTCGGGACGAGCTGCGGAGTCTGAGGCGGACAGGTGCATTGCGGATGGTGTAGACGTATTGCTGCAGTGCAGGCCGTCTGGTAGCAGGGTCCCTGTGCGGTCCACAGTCGCTTACCTAAAGGATAACGCCCTGTCTTTGTTACCTGCTGATAAGGAGGGGGGCTTTGTAGTACTACCCAAAGGCATGCTCAACTCGAAAGCTTTAGACGCTATAGAGGCCACGTTTGTACGCAGGAATGACGTGTCCCTAGCAAAAGTAAAAATTGAAGCACGTAAACTTTGCAAACGGCTGAGTTTAGATAAACTAGCCCTAGCGGTCGATCTCTGCCCTTGTTTTTTTCAGCTAAAACGCACAAAGCCAACTGTCCGCTACGCGTTATAGTATCCGAATTTGGAACGTGGCAGAAGTCGGTGGCCATGTTTTTACAAACGAAATTGAACATTTTAGTTATTGACGACCCTTTTCAGGTAAAAAACTCGGAGCAGATAATAGACTTCCTTAAACAATGCCCTGACCAATGCCTCTCAGCATGTTCCGTAGACATTAAGGACTTATACTACTCGATTCCACACACGGAGCTTTTAATGTGCGTCGAAGAGTGTATTGACAACCACGGGTGTGTAGCGTTTCAAAATGAATGTGGTCTGGGGGTAAGAGACTTCTTGGAGCTTTTAACCTTTTATCTAAAGTCGACATTTACAACTTGGAATGGAGAGACTTTCATTCAGAAAAACGGCATATGCATCGGTTCCTGTTTAGCTCCCGTATTGAGCAATATTTATCTTGCATTTTATGACAGAATTTTATCTAATAGACTTGAAGGCTCTAGGGTAAAAAAGGTTTTTAGGTTTGTAGATGACTACTTAGTGCTTGTTGACTGTGACTCAGACCACTTTGCTGGCGAAATTTCTGAGGTTTTGGCCACTTTTAGTAAATGCTTGGAACCACTGGTTATCACGCATGAATTACCAGTAAACGGTTCCATAAGATTTTTAGACCTTAGGCTGCAGTGTCTCCCCACACACACCTGCTGGCTTTATGAACCAAGGAGTAATAAACCCCTCCTGTCGTTTTCGTCTGCCCACTCTAAACTGGTAAAAAGGGGAATCATCAACATTTGCTTTAAAAACGCCCTTAATAAATCATGCTTTCACTTAGTCAAGGATAGCTTTAAGAATCAAGTAGCGAGGCTCACGGCCGCGGGCTACCCGTTGCGCCTCTTAACGGCAGTCGCAGAAACTCTACTAAAGAGAAGACGGATTGAGAATGCTGAACAAGTTAACAGGAAAAACAGGAACATCACAGTACTACCGTACCTACACAAAATATCCCATAATCTGAAAAAAGTGGGACGCCGAGCTGGTGTTCACGTGGTCTTTTCGGCTCCAGACAAGCTATCTATGATGTGCAAAAGAGTGAACTCTCATGTAACAGAGAGACAGGTGTGCGCCAAGAAACACCAAAGCCAGTTTGTTACATGCGTTGCGGGTGTTGTCTACTCTATTCCCCTGTCCTGTGGCCGGAGATACATAGGGCAGACGGGACGTTGTCTTAATGAGCGTTTAAGAGAGCATCGATATAATGTGTCTCAGGTTGTGTCGGGGCACCTTGGGGTGCATTGCCGCGATTGCGGATGTACTCCGGTTTTTGAACGATGCACGGTCATCAGTAAACAAAAAGATAAACTGACACGTGAGATTATAGAAGCCCGCGCCATTGGACAATCGGGCTCTGAGTGTGTTAGTGCCCCGTCACTTGCCTTGACGGAAAAGGAGTGTATTTTTCTACTCAGATCGGAGAGCAACGGCGCCTGCAGATGACTCTAGGAACACGTGTAGTCCTCCTCTTGTGTTTCTTTTCTTGGCTTTTGGGCAGGGCAAATTGTGTATTTATACAGGTTGTCAGTGCCAATAAAGCTCAGTTGTAAGTCAGCGCTGTGTGCGTCTACCGCCTTCTACTCTGTCCTTGTCCTTGCGCTGTTTGTTTTCCGGCGAAAAAGGTTATCTCGTCTAGTTCTATCCCAGGTAGACTGCCATATGTACACGGCCATCACACAGTGCATGTGTTGCAAATGCACACGAGTGCAGTGCAGAACCTGTAACAGGTACCAAATCTTTGCAACAAAAACTAAATTACACACCGTTGCCCCTGCGAAGATAGAAAATTCCTTGCCACCCCACTTCGCGGCTTTAAGACTCATCTCCTCTGTTTTGTTACGCCAGAGCTCGTTGCTTTCACGGTAATTGTTCAAAGGCACTCCCAAGTATATACCGTGCTCTGTAGACCACTGAATAGATTCAAACACACGCGGAGTCACGTCCCAGTGGCCGTGCCAGATCCCCAAGCATTTCGCCCAGTTCACAGCACAGGCTGTTTGCGCGCAGTATGATCTCGTGAGTTGAACAGCCGCTGAGACGCTTTCTCTATCACTACAAAAAATCGCAACATCATCTGCGTACGCTAATATTTTAACATTACATGAATTTAAAGAAAAATCACGTATTTTCCCACTCTTTATGACACTGAGGCAGTAGGGCTCAAGAAATATGGCGAACAACAACGGCGAAAGTGGGCACCCTTGTCGAACAGAGTATAACACAAAAATGCGTTTAGTTACTTGTTTGTTAATTATAAGACTAGTCCTGCAGTCACTATAGGCCATATTTACTCCATCAAAAATAATTTTACCCACGCCAACATGGTTTAGAATGCAAAAAAGAACATCATGGGACACTCGATCAAAAGCTTTTTCAAGATCGACTTGCAACAGAGCAACTTTCCGGAAATTAGCATCACATAGTTCCAACACACTACGCGCAACATGAATGTTACTCATAATTGTACGTTCCTTGATACCGCACGTTTGATGTTCTCCCACCACATCTCCAATCACCGATTGCATTCGTCTCGCAAGGATTTTCGTTAGAATCTTATAGTCCGTATTAGCTAGTGTAATGGGCCGGTAATTGGCTACATTACGAAGTTTATTAGTGTCTTCACTTTTGGGAATAAGGACTGTGTGGGTAAATAAGAAGGAAGGCGGAAAAACTTGGTTTTCATAACACTCGCGATACACTTGTAACAAAATACAAGCTAAATCTTTTTTATACTTTTTATAAAAGGCAGCACCCAAACCATCAGGGCCCGGTGATTTTCCGCTTTGCAAATCATCAATGGCACTTTCTACTTCGGACACACCTATCGGCTGGATCGCTAGGTTGGACATTTGAGAAAAGGTACATGGAAGTGACGTAATGCAAAGGAGGAGCGTATCCTAGCAACACTCACGTGGCGGCTCTGCCCACTTTGACGCCGCTACGTCATCGCAAACTTGACACCCGTCACCCGTTTCAGCGACGTCCGGAGCCAACCACCGACGAGCGGAAGTAGCTACGCATTCCCTGAGGCGTCCCTACGCGCGGGATACGGGGTAGGATTTACTACGACGCGGGGAGCAGTTCCTGCGTTTAGCGAAAGAACGGCAACCAATCCTGTGCGTCGCTGACCGTCGCATCTGTTCTAGTACAGGTAAAAGTATTGAAAAACAATCAAAACCTTTTGGGCGTTGTTAAAACAAACCGCTTTTTTGTACCCTTTTGCAATACATTTAAGAATTAATTGGAGAGAAAGTTGTTCCAATATTATGCGGGATGTGCCCTACGCGCCTTCTTCAAACCAAAATGTCGAACCACGAAGAGCCGGGTGTGCCGGGGGCAGCGGAGGGGTCGGCGGAACTAGGGTGC